TACAGGTGCTGGTCTAAGGTCCACGTTTTCCATCTGCAGAGCCAGGAGCTGCCTGGGCTCTGCTTGTGACCCGAATAGATTGGTAGCAGAGAGCCAGCCGCCTGAGCGAGCACAGCCAGCCTCTGTTTGGGAGGAGGGAGCCTGCTGCCTCCTTCCTCTGAAGAGCCTCTTCTGGGAAAAGAATGACTCTTACAGCAATATTGGATTTCCCTGCAAGATTTATGACCCAATTTAAAGTTATGGGGCTTTTATTAATTATAATAAACACCAATTTCATTACACTTCAACTTCCAAAGAAATTACATACTATGGAAGGGAAATAAAATGTTAGTTTTGTGCTAATGCCAGGCACACATTAGTTGGGTACTGTGTTCGTCTTGGCTGCTCAGCTGGAGCAGAGGAAGGGGCATTTTGGAAGGAAAAGTCTGAGGAGTCATTGCCAGAACTTAAATCCATTTGCTCAAAAACAATGGAAATGAGCTGTGCTGCCACATGTGGCTTGCGGGGTCACTCCCTTTATGAGGAGCTGCACTTCGGACCCTAAGCCCTAAGTACTAGCTCTTACTTGTCTCTCACTTGCTATGTGATCATAAGTAAGTTACTGCTCCTCTCCGAGCCTTGATGGCCTCGTCTTAAAAATAAAGACTTGACTTAGGTCAGGGATAGCAAATGTAGTTCACCTCTCGTACCAATTCCCATGTAGAGGAGCTAGTCACATACGAGACTGTTTTAAGAAAGATTCTGAAGTTGTATCCAGGATTCTTGGGAAAGAGAAGTATGGTCAATTAACTAGATCTTCCAGGGGCAGGTGCCAGGAGGGGAGCTGAACACAGGCTGGGTATTCACTGTTCTAGGGAATGCGTGATGATCTCAAAGCCCACTCTGGATTTCTGGATTTTAATTTAAAGCTATGTAGCCTGTTAGTAACTAACCCAGGACAAAATCTTAGGCTTGTGGATTCTTCGTCCGAAGTCCTTATCTACAAAATAAGTAAAATGGATTATACCGCATGGCTTGGTAAAGGTTCAGTGATGTTACATAAGGGATGCATTTTGTAGTAGAAGATGAGGAATAAATATATTCTCATCCTTCTGCTTTTTCATTCAGCTCTGAGCTCATGAAACCATACTGACTGGTGGCTGTCTCCATTTGGGGTGGGTTTTGAAGAGCTGACTCTTCCAAAGCTTTACCTTAGCCCACGTTGGGTACGAGGGTTTTTTTCAGCCACAGACCCTTAGGCATAACCCATGGCTCCACAGATTCCTAAAGGAGAGTTTTTTTTTAAAGCTGCTCGGTTTAATATTTTATTGTTATGGACTTTCCAACTCAATGCTACTTTTGTTTTTGTTGGGGAACGGAAAATATTTTGACACTTCTGGGGAGATGGGGTTTGATGAACCCCCTAAGAGGGTGGAGAAGAGGATTCAGCAACTTTGCACAATTGCTTCCGGCCAGATGTGAAATTAAGCTTCTGGGTACAAACTCGGAGTACATTGGGTAATAGGTAGGACAGCGTGCTGTGGCTCTCAACAGGGAGGGGAGAAGGGGGTGTGTGGGTGGGTGTGTGTGTGGGGGGTGTGTGTGTACTGGGCCTCAGGATGCCCATTATTATATATTTCTGAGCAGAGAACAGAGTCCAAAAAAAGTGAGTTGTGCACTCCTGAGCGGTGTCACCTCTCACCTGGTGCCACCGTTGTGAGAGTCACATGGACATCCCCTAGAGGCTGACAGCCCACATTTAGAGTTATCCAGACCTGGGTTTGAATCCAAGCTTCAAAACGCACTAGCTGTGTGAACTTGCAAAAATCTCTTAACTTCAAGGGGCCTCAGTATCCTCATCTGTAAATGGTAGGTAGGTAACCAATTGATGTGTGGCACATGTGTGGGTAGACAAAGTGCTATATCAAGACAACCTGCTCATTGGCCTGGGCTCAGCTTAGCTCTAAGTTGCTGCATGACGATAAACCAGTTCGATCCTTGCCCTCGCTGGGCCTTGGTCTTCCAGGCAGCCCCCAAGAGGCAGGGACTGGATAGGCCCCCAGGCCCTTCCACTCTGACAGCTGGTGTGGAAGACAGATGTGGCCTGGGCCCCTGGAATGCATGGAGCGCTCTGATAAGGCTGTCCATGCAGCAATTCGGGCCCAGCCCAGAAAAGGTCAGACTCGAGGGTTGGACGACCAGGTTTTATATCGAAGTTCTGAACTTCCTAAATGTATGGGCCATCTAAGCCCACCCCCACTGCCCCATCTGAGTAGTCAGGGGTTAGTGGCCAAAACTGAATGTTTCCCTCTGTGCCATGCATTCGGCCCCCGCCTGGCCGGCGCTCAGGACTGAAGCAGTGGGCACCACTTGAAAGACAGACCCCTGCTCGTGCAAGGCTGTACTTCTCTGAGGAAAAGATGGAGCCAAAACTGCCCCTAGGGGGGCCACCTAGTTTAGTTAGGGCCAACAGGCAAACAGCTTTTTTAAAAGCCTTCATAATCCAAGCCTGGTTGATATCTGGATGTCTTTCCATGCTGAGATGGTCCTGGCGTGGAATCATCTCTGATTCCCTTCTGCCACGCTGGGATGGGGTGTCTATCTCACGTGTCTTGAAATATTGGGATTCTCTTTAAATTATGTCATAAAAGGCAGAAGAGAGATAAGGCAGGAACATGGGCTTTAGATCTCAGAAGCCCTGAATGCAAATCCTGAATCCGCCCCATACCAGGGACTTGACTTTGCAGCAACAACACACCTTCTCTGAGTCTCCACTCCTTCCGCTGTAAAGTGGAGGCAGCAGTTGCTGCCCTGACAGAGTGATTATGAGAATTAAATGGAAGCTTAAAAAATGCAAAGCACTTCTCATACAGCAGGTACTCAACAAGGAACAATGTTTTTCGAATGTGAATGTGCTGCTGTATCTATATAGTTATCCAGCCAACCTCTAATTGCCTGTGGCAAAGATACTATTATTTGTACTCCTTTTCTCTTCCTGCCTGAGGGCCTGATTGGGGGCAAAGGGATGGGTGAGCAGGGGCTCTCCTTACCCTGCCTTCAGGCCAAGACTATGTTTGGCTCCTTGGCCTGAACAGTTCCTTCCCCTCTGGATGGTATTTTGCAAGCCAGTGCAGAAATGGAAGTGACTTCCGCAATATTCCTCCCATTTTCCCATCACCAGATTTATTTTCCCTACTGGTTCAACCCACTCCACCGGATGCTTTCTTTGGGGCAATCTTCCCTCCTGCCAGCCCAAGGAAGGTTTTGCATATGCAGACAGTCAAGTGGCTCTGGCCCAGCCAGGGGATGCATATTCATCATTTCTCAGCTATGCAGTGGACATGAAATGATGACAGAGAAGGATGAGCAGGGTCTGCACAGTTGGCCTGTGGGGGCTTGAAGCTCTGGGGGAACGCATCGGCCCAACCGCCTGGCTGCTGTCAGGGGCTCTGCGTGGCTTGGCGGATGCTGTGAGCTACTCCCTGTGACAGGGCCTCAGCGCTCTGGGCACTCACTAATCTGATTCCTCTCAGGACCAGTGTATACGCCATTTATTACGTGGGTAACAGTTTACCCCATAGATTACAGTCTGCACTGTTGCTTGTGACCCAGGCCTACTTGGCCTCAGCATAGAAGGTACAACTCACATATTCCTGTGCCTGATGCCCCCTGGGGTTGTACACCTGGAGGCCCTGCCCCCCCTTGCTCACTCTGTTCTGCTCTCTGCAAGCACCCATAGCAATTCATGCCCTCTTGTTAAAGGCCTACTGAAGGATGCCCTTGCATAAAATACATCAGACACTAATAAGTAGATGCTTGGTCCTACTGAATTGGAATCTTGAGATGGGGTGGGGGGCTTTGGGTTTATGAAGTCTATTAAAGCGCCCCAGATAATACTTATGGGCAGTAACACTGGGGAGTCAGCATCACACCGCGTTAAAGGGATGGTCACTTAGCCGGGTATCTGTGCTTTTTGTCCATAGACCAACATTGAAAAGGAGAGACTTTGGAGAATAACGTGAGCTGCTATCCCAAGCATTAAGTATCAAGAAGGGAAACACACAAAGACCATTTCTTCCTTCCAAATTCATTGCTATTCTGCACAGCGTCTATCAAATGCCCTTTCGCTGCTCCAGAAAGAGATGGATTTGCCCAAGAGCCTCTCTCTCCCTCCCTCCCCTTTCCACATTAAACTTTGTATTGTGGCTTCCCACCCCACCACACTTTGCACTGTTCAAGGACAAAGACCATCTCTTAATCATCTCTGTGCTACCATTACATGGTAGAGCGTCTGCTCCATTGTGGTATTTAATGAGTGGTTTTGAGTTAGAGAAAACGTGTCTTTCTCCAGCTCTCTTTAATTAGTTCATATTGACTTTTGCTGGAAATCAAGTTTGGAGCCAGCCACAACATACAAAAGGCTGGCTGTAAAGTGGTAAAACTGCATTTGCCATGAATGCACCCATATGTGTCAAAGGGTGTTGTATTTCAAAACAGTTCATCTCCTTGGAAAGCTTTGCATTACTTCCAACAAAATGGCTTTTGCTCAGATGCATCTGAAGTTCTAGTTTCACATCTGTTGTCTCTTAGCTGAAGGACTGGGCTAAAAAGCTGGACTGGGCTGCAGCCCAAGGGAGGAGAGCGCCCACCAGTGGCTAAATCTAGCCCTGGACGTGCAGCCATGGAAGGGCTTCTGAGAGGAGCGGGGTCTTGGTGGATCATCACAGCAATTGTAAAAACCAGCCTGAGAGTGAGAGTGGGCAGTTGGAAGTGAATGTGCACAGAGAGGCTATGAAGGAAACAGCAAGTGGATGGTTTATGGGTTATTGGGACAGTTCGAGTAATGAAGGCTAGTTGGGCTCAAACTGGGGGAGTCAGAGAGAGCAAAGTGCTCTGGTGGAAGAAGATGGTGATCTATTTTCCCTGCAACTATACAAGATACCAGCAGGTAAAGGGATTCCAAATAAGATTTAATTTCATTTTCTACCTGGGTGGGGTGCCCTGTCCATATTTTCTAGGTTTTTTTTTTTTTTTTGACTCATTATTTGAAATAATTTTAGACTTATAGAGAAGCTACAAAAATAGTATAGAGTTCACATATACCCTTTACCCAGCTTCCCTTAATCTTAAAAATATACATAACCACAGTACAACTATTAAAACCTGGAAGTTACCATTGGTACAATACTATTAGCTAAACTATAGACACCACTTGAATTTTACCATTTTTTCTACAGAGTCCTCTTTCTGCCTCAGGAGCCAGTCCAAAATCCCACAATGTAATTAGTTATCATATTTCTTTAATTTCTTTAATGTCAAATTTCTTTAATTTCTTTAATGAGATGACCACATCTCATTCTTTCATGACCTTGGCAATCTTACTGAGACTGGTCATTTGTAGAATGTCTCTCAATTTTGTCCCAATCATAACTGGAGAAAATGCGTAATTGTCGACAGGTTGCAGGGCACACAAGAATACTAGCTTCCAATTTTATAGTCACATCTTACTTTGATTGACTCAACTCAACCTTACCTCCGATGACATTTATCTTTGTTTCCAAATTCACATTTATTCCCCAAAGGTAAAGAGTCTCAAGTGTGAAGAAACAACAGAAGGCTGATTCAAAGCTCTTAAAGAAACTCCCCACAGAGAAGACTCACAAACGTTTTCACCAGAGGTGGCACCATTCAGGTATTTAACCTCGGCCTGTCCTCATTTAACCACATCATGGGGCGAGGCTGCTGCCAACTGAGGCGGGAGGAAGGAGGCTGAAAGTAGGGGTGGGCACCGGGAGCGCGCCTCAGGGAGATGTGAGAACCCAGCTAGTGTGGAGAACCAAGCCAGAAGATGGTAGAAGGGGAGGCGCTGCATCCGCGCGATGCATAAGTGCAACAGCCTATGGCAGAAAGCCAGAAGTCACTAGGACAAGGCTGGGTGAAGCTGCCTGAGTCCCTCCTTTATAAGAGGGTTGAGGAGTCCCAGCATCAAATATGTAAGAGACCTGTGTCACTTGAATTTCAAATCCTGAAACTTGTGTTTAAAATTCAATCACAATGATCTTCTGTAATATGCACTTTATATACAGATGTCTTTGTGTATATGATTGCAGCTTCCTGGTTCTCCCCTCCCAGCAATCAATATATTTCATTAAAATTGTACAGATTAAGAACTGCAAAATTTCAGAGCGTCTACATGAATTGAGCCTTTTGGAGCTGTGCTGTGCACAACCTCTGTAGCTGGACAAGGCAGTTTTTATGGGTGATTGAAAAAGTAATAATACTTTATGGGGGTGAGAGTATCCTCCCTTAACTCTGGGAGCCTAATTACTTCAGTGGTCACACAAGCATGGCAACCCCTTTCTCCCAGGGTCCTTGTGCATTCCAGATGGTTAACCTAAGAATACTTGGCGCGTAGTAGACACTGGCGAAGTTAGCGCCTCTCCGTCCCCGCCATCCTCCTCACACATTAGCAAGTGTCCGTGTGCATTCTCTAAGCGCGGGAGGGGAGTGGAGACAGAGTGTGTTTACCAGCCAGTCAGAAGGCAGCCATCATTTCACTCACCCCCCAGAGGGAGTCTCCTGGGACCAAACAGCAAAGAGAAGTTATTAGTGGTTTTGCTTTCTTCTTCTGAGTATTATTATGGAGGGTCTCTCCTAAGACCTCTGTGCCCCCACAGAGAATGTATTTGTAAGGAGATATATATATATAGCAAATATCCCCATCCAGGTGCCCTCTCATATGTGGTCATTAAAATAAATGACCTACTATGCATTACTTGTTACTGGTGGGATGGAAATAAAAATCTAAATACTCACTGTATTATTTTGATGCATGACATGTGGAAAAAAAATCCCTATCAGGTTACCCATCAGCCTAGTGAAAAGTACTTAACTCAGAACAGCAATGATTGGTATAGTTTCATACAATTTCCCTCCCAAAGTGCAGTAAAGACTCACCCACAGACAGCTTTACACGTGCCCAGTGAGGTGTAAGGCAGCCCACAAGGGAAGAGGACGGGCCACCCTCTTATCCGTTTTGCTGCCTTGTGGGCTGAGCTGTGAGCCACAGCAGACCCAGGCAGGAGGCTGCACCTTCCCCCTGTGAGCGCCAGGCCTATCCCCTTAACCAGGCTGGGCGACAGACAGTGGGACTTAGGGCAACGCAGACCTGAGAGACAGGGAGACTGGTCACAGGCCCCCGGTCCTGGTCCTGGGTGCAGGTTTCTTTGCATTTAGGTGCCTCTTTTATGCATTAAACTCCCACAAACCCAGAAAGAATCCAGCTGAGGGTGACATCGCTTCTCAGGTGAGCCACCAGGACCAAGCCTGCCCATCTGTCCCTCTGACCTTCTGCTCCTTTTCCTCCTCTCTCTGGCTGCCGTGGTCCTTGGTTTTGTAATTGAGTCTCTGAGCTTTTGGGGGAGAAATCTCTTTTTCACCATCGAGTCCTCCCTCTGGCTCACTCATGCCTCTGCCTAGCCTATCCCCCTCTGAACTGGGCATACATCTGGGATCGCACCGGCGTCAGCGGCCACAGGAAGAAGCCTCTGGAAGGGAGACACTCCCTTCTGCAGCCTCATCAGTGTGGCTGTTATCCTGACCCAGGCCTCTCTCCTGGGAACGGAGGTGTTACACAGAGAGAGGGCCTCTGGGTTTTCACCTGGTTCTTCTCTGAAGTCTGTGGAGCAGGCACCAGTCAGGTGAATCCTCATACGGGCCTCCACCTCCTTCTGCCATCCTTCCCTCCTTCAGTTATGTAGCAGCCACCATAAGTCCGGAATCAAGCTCAGCCCTGGGGATACAAAGATGACTAAGACACAGCTCCTGTAAACCTGCATTGCAGCCTGGACGACCGGTATGAAAATGAAAAGTTAGCCAACTATGTGATAAGCTCCTTGAAATGAGGGGCCTAACAGGCTCATCCCCAGAGTCCCCTTGAGTCCCAGAATTCTAAATGGCTAAAATGTTGATGGCGCAGCCAGTATTCATATTGGTAAATAGAGGAGTAGCAATATTGACCTGGGTCTGAGGCATTGCAAAATCCTCTTGGCAGCTTTGTTCCAATCAGCAGTACTGCGTATCCAATCAGTAGTGCTATGTTTGCCAACTGGTTATAATAGGTTTCATCAGTCATTTAATGACAACGATATTGTGACTATGCTCTGTCATTCCAGTGATGGAGATGGTAGATGTGCTCACGCTGCCACTGTTCCCACTTCCTTTTCGTGTGTGCTTTGGCACTGCAGGAACTGGGAAAGTTTCAACCACATTTCCCTGCTTCCCTTGTGCCTAGGATCTGGCTGCGATTTAGGTTCACGCAATCAGATGCACTTGAACTAGACCTACACGAGGGACAGTGGATCTATCGCAGCAGGAGGTGTGACTGAATCATTACTGAGAGCTTATCTTGTTCCTTCAGCACTATCAATTATTTAGTGGGCCACCTAAGACATAGTAATAAATCCCTTTCCCTTCAACCACCCAGAGTTGTTTCCATTGAGCGCAACTAAACCTTAACCAACACGGCACCGGAAAGGAAATGAAATCCTGCATAACAGCATAGAAACAAGTTTATGCTAAAGTGAAGGAGGGCCTATGCTGAAATGCACATCTGTCCATCTGGCTAACACCATGGGCTCCTGATTTTGAAGTTTTAAAAGGGGCTCTGCTTTAAAGTAGATATCAAAGTTACAAAGAGGAATGTCCATGCCAGCAACATCGTGGGCCAGATGCTCTACCCGAGTCCTGACCCCACAGCTCTGTGCCAGCAGGTATGGCTGGGCCCCGACAGGAGCATCCTGTGAAGGGCTGGGGCAGGTACCAGGGTCATCCAGCCTCAGTCTAGTGGGTAAGCAGGGGTGCCAGCAGCCGACACAAAGATAATCACCACCGAGGCTGCCTGTCCATGGGTAACAGGTTCCCAACCAGTGGCCAGAGTTCACTAGGAACCCATGTTTTAGGGGAAAAACATTAAGACTCCTATTCTTCAAGGAAAAGAATATGAGAGCAGAAGTTCATTCAGAACTGTTAAGATGCTGCCATTTTCTGCAAATTTCAGCAATTTCCAGGAGACTGATGTCAAAGCCACAGGAAGAAACAGACAGCACAGTGAGCGTCCTGCCATATTTGGCAGGGGGCGTTTGTCCATGTACAACCTTCTTCCCTGTTTGCATCCCCTCCCAGTCCAGGAATCTTTTATCTTTCAAAAATAATAAATATGGAGAGGAAATTATGTTCTTGACAGAGCAGCATCCATTCCATGGGTCTGTCTCCTGAGACCTTTGCCTTTGCAAGAATATTTTAGTTTCAGCCTTTCTCCTCGGTGCCATAAACACTGCAACAGCAATTTATTCCTTTCCAGCAGCCATAAAAATTATCTCCCATATTTCTCAACATCATGGGAAATTAGCATCTTTGACCATCTTTTCCTCGAGCTCTGTCTTTCCCTCTCATGGTTGCAGACACATGGGCAATTTATGATGGTCCATGGAAGGTTCTCCTTTCTGGCGTGCCGATGGAAAATTTCAACCTGCCAACTTCATACTAATCTATTCCCATGCTTATCTTGAGTATGTGGAAATAAATCTAAAGCAGCATTTTCCAAAATCAGTTTTATATCTTACCAGGTCTACGAAATGTTATTAAGTGTGCCACAAATAAAGTATTTTGTAGTCAAATAAAGTTGGAAAGTGCTGCATGCTTTCGATTTCAGAACACATATTTGTGTGTCTCAAAACTTCTTTGGTAAAGGAACTATTCAAATTTCAAATTTGGAAAGCCCAGAATTTCCCAGTTTGTTTAAACATGGAAGAGTTTTATACTTGCTTCCAAGCATTCTATGGATCCCAGTTTGGGTAGACGATGACATTGTGGAACAGAAGTTGAAGTATACAACCAGGGGTATAAACATAAGATAAAATTCCAATTTACAAAACACCTGCTGCCGATGGATGGGAGTCATAGCCAAGGGCTCAGTGCTGAGCAGGTTTCTTCTGCTCATAGTTGGTCCTGAGAAAGGAGTACAAGCTGCGTCTGCA